CACGAAGAGTGCTGCACCTTTCTGCAAAACCCTAAACCCTAAACCCTAAACCCTAAACCCTAAACCCTAAACCTAAACCCTAAACCCTAAACCCTAAATGACCAGGGAGACCTGCAGATTCGATCCTTCGGCGCTCGACGGTGGATCCCTACGACGACACGCCGAAGCCTCGCTTGCTTTCCTGCCACGGAAGGAGCTCTTGTGCCGATCGGTTTGGGGTTTAGGGTTTAGGGCTTAGGGTCGATAGTCATACGGGGGTTTCCGAAAATTAGGGTTTAGGGTTTAGGTTTTAGGTGTTTGATCCTACTATTTGATTCGGGTACTATACTGGGGTCCCCTATTTTCTGAAACCCCCACATTGATGCCAATAGTCATGATATGAAGAAGCAACCCTAAGCCCTGAACCCTAAACCCCAAGACAGGGCTGACATTCCTGTGGAACATGGGGGAGTACATAGTGTGTACTGTGGACGACGTGTTGAGGTTCCTGTATGTGTAGTCTACTTTTCTCCATCTTACATCTGATTGAACATGTGTAAAAAAAACAAACCGTAGTACTAACCATCGAGAAGGTTTATAAGTACTGATAGCTTCGAAAGTTTCCAAGCTGACATTGAGCCTGAAACGGTATCCTTTGGGGTTTGGGGCTTAGGGGTTAGGGAACCATTTAGGAATTCCTGTATGGTTTAGGGACAGCGCAAAATCCTACTGGGTTTGGCTTGTGGATTATTGGGTTTAGGGTGGGACGCATTCCAAACGTTTGAGGGTTAAGGCTCTAGGACAAACCTAAAGCCAGCATTCACAACCCTGAACTTTATAGCACAGGGCCTAGGCAGGCCTAGATCCTTAAACTCTCAGCCGTAGATCCAAATTTAACAAGAGTGCACCCGAAGTACTGCATTTATAGATGTCGTGGAAGTAACTGAAAGCTTTTACACCCGAATCCCAAGCCCGAAAATCTATCTTTGTTCAATTTGTACAGCTGCGGTATTACCCCCCCTTAACACTAAACCCTAAATCTTGTCACCCGAAGCTCAACCAAGCCACTCGAAGACTGGAGGCTAATCGGCATCCGTGCGCGTCGAACTCGAAGTCGGCTCTGTCTAAAATTCACCCTAAACCCCAAACCCTAAAACCTAGGCGGCATTTTGGGAAACTTTACAATTTTCCTTATGGTTCCTGGTAGAGGTACCTAACTATTCTGAAATTTAAAACTTTTGAGGACCCCAAAACTACAACCAAAGAAACCATTCCAAACTCTAACGCCCAATATTCCTGAACCCTTCCGAGAGGAAAAGTCGGTAGTGTTATGGATGTATAGGATCGACTGTAGACCAACAAAACCCCAAAACGGTGTCCCCACGATGTACCGGATGTACTATCGATAGTTTCTGAACGACTGAGATAATAGCATCCCCTTGCAGCCAGCATAGTCTCTCTTGCATTAGCTGTGCGCAAAGCATGGAATCGCTGCCTCCACCGGCGCTGAGAGTTTGGAAGATTTCCGGTGATGAAGTGGCCACACTCTCGGCAGAGGATGCCCTGGACCAGAGTGCCTAGCCCATGTTCATGAAAGGCCCAGCGGACTTACAACTTGTGGGCTTTTGTCCGTAGCATTCCATTTGTGGCTGCATTCGGGCGCGGTTGCGAAAGCTCGTAGAGTACAACATAGCCGAAACTAACTGCATGCTGCTCAATCGAGATTGCTCATCCTTGGTGGCAGCCAAGGCAATGTTCGGAGTTTGAAGAGGTATCTTGCAAGGGAGCACGGGATGCCAGGACGTGTGCTACGAAAACAAGCCAAGTCTTCTGCTGGGTGATCTTGGAATGTACCACATCTTTTTAGGTATGTGTTTTAGGGGAATTGACGATACGGTTTTGGGGTATGTTGCAGAGAAAAAAGGCAGGGACCCGCAGGCATACTATCGCTAAATTTTAAGGCTCCCATGTTACACATACCACACTGCAAGAGAGAACCACAAGCTTTTGTTTAGTGCCTTGCCAGTGTATACAGTCCTGTTTCAACATTCAGACTTTGCTGTACTGTATGGCTTAACCAAACCCAGTGTATGTACCAGGATTCTGTCAGAGGCTGCTGCAGAACGGATTGGAATTGGACGATCAGACTGTGCTCGAATTCCCCAGTGAGCTGCAGCTGGTCATGGTGCCTTCGCGTGTTGCCTCCTATGCGGAAGAATTGCAGCTGGCAAATTCTATTCGTTCACGAGACTTGCAGCAAGCTGAACTCATTCTGGGGAAACCGTGCGATCTGAAAAGAAGTGTTCTGAGGCCTATTCTGAGCGCTGCAGCTGCTGCCGGACATACAGACTGTGTCGATCTACTCTTGTTTGCAAGTCCTCGCCCGGCTCTCGACAATCTCGGCGAACCTTTACACATGGGCTCGTATGGAGGCTGCGTCGATATTGTGCGCCTGTTGCTGCATGCTCGGGCAGACAAAGACACGCTAATCTCCGGAGAGACACCTCTTTCCAAGTCGGCCGGCAGAGGTCACGTGGAAGTTCTTAGCTTGTTGCTGGAGGCAGGTGCCGACACGCAGATGGGCTCCCCTCTGTGTTCCGCCTGTGCCAGCGGAGTCGCACAAGCTGTTCGAATGTTGCTCAGCACAGGTGCTGACAAGAACAAAAGGGCGTCAGATGGGCCACCTGTGTACATAGCCTCTGATAAAGGCTACACTGACATATTGAAAATGCTCCTGGAAGCAAGGGCCAATGCAAACGACACTTCAGGAGATGACACGCCGCTTTACAGAGCCTCGTTCAGAGGCTATGCAGTCACAGTCCGCCTGTTATTGGAGGCCACGGACCCTCTACACCGTAAACCTTGAGCCCCAAACCCGAATCCCTAAACCCTAAACCCTAAACCCTAAACCCTTAACCTTGAACCCCGGAGGCCATGGCGACTGTCAATACACCCGTGCACGGCGAGACGCCCTGGGCGGCCGCATGTTGGAGGGGTCACAGCAAGACAGCACCTCGCCTAATCAGCTCGTTTCGAATAAGTACGGTTTAGGGTTTAGGGTTTTCAGGGTGATTCGAGCAGCAGCACGTAGGGACATAAGAGGATCATATGACAGATTGTTCAGGCCCCAGATAACCCATCGCCTTGAACCCCTGAACCTTAAACTTCGCGTGGTTCCGAAACCGTTGAGGGCTAGTTCCCTTTGTAGGTTCTGCTGGGGGTCCTTCGTGCCCGAGTCACGTGCTCTTTGCGGCATCCCAGCAGAGATCCCAATTGTGGGGGTGATTCCTGCAAAGGAATCCGGTTGCGAGCCACAAAGTCACAAAGTCCTTTCAGAAATCAAAGTCTAGATGCCCCACGGGGCGACAACACATCCCCCCCCCCCCCCCACCCCGGCCAGCGGCCCTCAAAACGACAACATTGCTCTTCAGTTCTTCAATTCGGGATTAGCCAGATATTCTGTAAACCAGCCACGCGAGCTAGAGTTCGCACTCGTTTTTATGCACTTACTTTCCTATGCCTATACCCCTACATCTGCAACAAAATCAAAATGTGCCGAGCGTCCTGTTCTACTTATCTCTCCGGATGTTTCATGACGTAGCTGTGTTGGCGCGGCATTTACAAGTAACGACGATGTATGATATGACAGCTTTGCCGTCGAGTATTTGGGCTCAGGCCTCAGTTTCGCGAGTGTTTGGGAACCCGCGCCCGTCCATCCCTGAAAAACCCTTATCAGCCGAGGTAAAGCTGCTTCTCAACGCGAAGGCAGACAAGGACCGAGTCCTACGAAAGTAGGAGTGGTGCGGGCTTGAAGGTAGATGCGCAGACGATTTGGGACATCGTGCCCGAAAGCTTCGTCTGGTGTTTATCTCGGAAACCGGTGATTGCAGCGACTCACTATAAGCCCTTGCCCAGCATTTCTAAAAACCCTAGGACACGAGCTCAGTACTTTGCCCGGCCATTCGCAATGGACACGCAGACACTGGGCAATGGTCCGGCAATGGTTCTGTTCAGGGCACGTGGGGGTTTTGAAGGAAGGTTCGTGATTTGTGGACATTCTTGGCGGGTTTTGGCTAGTGCTGTCTATGCAGGCACAGTAGAATAAAAGATATAATATGATATAGAACATATTACTAGTTAATACTGATATTAACTATAATATAGTCTCATGTACAATAGTAGGTTACAACATTATATAATGTTATGTACTGCATTATTTCACAAATTACTACGATATAGTATAATATAGTGTAGTGTAATATACTAATATAATCTAATATAGTATAATCTAAGCTGTTACCATGAAATCTGTTCCAAACCTAATATAAAATAGCATAGTACAGTACATTATATTATCAGACAGTACAATAAAACATAACATAAGATTACACAATATCAAAATATAACATAATGCACAATAACACAACATATCTACACAGAATTCAACATAATTCAACATGGCATAACATGTTCAAGGCAACTACGACATACCTAGCATAATAAACATAAGAGAACATAACATAGTATAACATAGTATAAGACAGTATGGCATAATGTAAGATAATAAAAGATAGCACAAATAATATAGCATACAGAACAGAGCATATTATAGCATATTATATTTCAACATATCATAGTTTAAGGTAGCATAACAACTTGATGTATCATAGTATACACACACCATCTGTATATATATATATGTATGTATATATATATATATATAAATATAGGTATGAAATGTGATACAACATGACACAATGTGATATCATATGTTATGATCTAATGTAACATGTTACCATACAGTATAAAGTGCCATAACACAATAAAATACAATGTGATATGATATGACGTGATATGAATGATATGATACGATATAGAAAACAGAAGATAGCCACGCCAGAACTCCGACCCACAGGGCCCGAGGAACGAAGAATCAATAACTACTGTAAGGGCCTTAATGATTAGAATAGGGTTTTGGGGCCCGTTATACCATAATTATAATAAGGAACCCCCCAAAAAATAGTATACGCAATTATGTAGGCCCCTGCATTGTGGAGCGTGGCTCTGACTTGAAAAAATCCAAATTGCCTGAGCGGGTGGTGACTATTCGAGTAAATGTTTATGTCTACGTCCCCGTATATGTCCATGTAGATACCTACGTATCTGTATCTGTATACTATACGTATACTCATAAGTTTTCGTTTGTGTCTATATCTGTATGTCCAAGCCCGTGTCTATGTTTATGTCTATGTCCGTGTCTGTGTCTTTGCCTGTGTCTATGTGTACATGTACATGTGCATGCATATGTATGGCAGGTGGGTTCAGGATAGTAGTTTTGCAGGTCAGTATTTGCGCGAGGATATGAGTACTACGCCAAACCCTAAACCCCTAAACCCCTAAACTTCTAAACCCTAAACCTTAAGAGTCTTGCAGTGGGAAAAAGGAGTTCAAAAATCACAAAACCATAAGGTTCTGTCTTCGGTAAACCCTAAGCCGTAGCCTGGCGCTCCGAGGGGTCCTCGAAAGAAGGCTTGCATGATCCCAAAGGTAATTCCGAGCCTGCTTGCACTGTTTAGGGTTTAGGGTTTCAAGGTTGGGGGTCCCAACCCTCAACCCTAAACCATAAACCCTAAACCCTCAACCCTAAACCCTACGGGTTTAGGGTTGAGGATGGTTGAGGGGAAATGGCTGCCGGCCCTGCATGCTTCTGAGAAGGATCCCGTTATTCAGAAACGGGAGTTCCTTCTGAATGGTTTTGTGTTTCGGGGTTTAGGGGTTCAGGTGGTTTGGGGTTTAGGGGTTTAGAGGTTTAGGGTTTAGGGGTTTAGGGTTTAGGGGTTTAGGGGTTCAGGGTTTAGGGGTTTAGGGTTTAGGGTTTAGGGTTCTGTCGGCCAAGGAGGTGGTATCCGAGTTGCTCACTGCACGGGCGAACGTGGAAGATGCAGCCACGGGCGAGACACCACTGGGCTTGGCAGCTGGCAGAGGGATGACGGCAATGGTGCGAATGCTGTTGCAAGCAAGGGCCAACGTTAACAAGGCTGCAGAGGGGGCTGAAGCACCGCTTTGCAAAGCTTGTGCCGGCGGCCATATAGACGTCGTGCGCGTGTTGCTGGAGGCGGGGGCGGACAGAAATTTGGGTTCGCCTCTTTGCTCAGCTTGTGATGAAGGACACACGGAGATCGTGCAGCTGTTGCTGACGGCCCGTGCTAACAAGGATGCTTGCACAACTGATGGTAGAACGCCACTCTGGCTTGCGAGCAGTTTCGACTATCCGGACGTGGTGCGCTTGCTGCTCACGGCCGGTGCAGATCCCGATCTCGTCGTACTCGCAGGTTCATACAGCCGTCATCTCGCCCTCGGTGGTGTGGATTGCAGCGGTCCGACGTGGAACCTTCTCATAGAGGCCTGGATCTCTGGATCTCATCGCAACTCCGGAAAGCGTGCGTCCAAACAGAAAAGGAGCTCATGTTCTAGAAGGATTGTTTCCGCCTTGTTCGACACCTTGTCACACTCATGTCTTTCAAGCATAGACAAGCTCTTCTGCCAGCTGTCGCTGAGGCCACGCTTCTCCACTATGCTGGGAAAGAAGTACGCAGCCTTCTCGGATGTGTTGCAAGTCAGAGGGCTTAGAGTTTAGGGAGTTAGACTTTTGGTCGTGTGGCATAAAACCCTAAACCCTGAACCCTAAAATCCCCAGCCTTAAATTCTGAATCACGCGGGAAAGTACCCCAACTGCATTGGAAGCATCTTGGATGGTTAGCGCCGTCGCGTCTTTGACATATGACTGTTCCATGGCGCTCATGACTACCAGGCTTTGAGGTGTATTGTGTTGTAAGTGTATATAGCCACTACAAGGGGATAGCATAATGCCCTAAACCCTAGACCCTGAACCCAAAGCCCTAAACCC